GTCCACGCTCATTGCCCATGACGACGTCGTAGCATCGCGTCTCCTCCGATGTGGAGACCTTGCACCCATTTCCAAAACACAAGTCCTACAATCCCTTCTATATGGTCGATGGCCTTGACGAATATGGGCTTCCCAGGCTTCCTCTGACGTCATCTTGGCCAAGTGTGGCTCTTCACCCGCAGTTTCATCGCCTTCCCGTTTGAGATGTCGGTGAAGCGCTTCTCGGATGGCAGCCCTTAATCCCGGTGCCCATACCGCCCAGGTGGACGACAAATGGCAACGGTCTTTGATGTCCTTTGGCAGGGCCTCGGAGTGCTTGGTGCTGCGTTGATCTTCCAAGTCTCTCATGTCCTCCAGGTTTGTGAGGCACGTGGTCGGTTTCCGTCGTGAGTGCCCAAAGCACCCTTGATCAAAGGATACCAAACCCATTCCTTGGTAGCGGAGCAGCTGCATTAACTCCGGCCATGCCCAAAAGCTTGGACTTTCTTCTTCGCGAGCTTGTGGAACATACGTCAACGGATCCTGTGGGCTCTCCAAGAGGAAAGCGGTTCTCACACGATGACGCTCGCGGCATTCTTCAGACCTTATGAACAGGCCAATTTGTTTCAGCAGCAGTGCTGCATCTGAATCAGCCAAGTTCTTCTCCCGGTCTGTCAATCCTGGTAGACCATACCGGTCATGGAAACGTCCACGCAATGGTCTTGGTCCCGGTTGTTTCTGCCTCAATCGGCTGACCGTCCGACAGGGAGGTCCCCCGATGATAGCAAGAAGTTTTCCCAGGCTTGCAAGTTTCCAAAGGAAACTCCATGTTCCCGGATTGTGTAGATCTTGATTTCGACCTTCATTGATATCCAAAGTGATGCCTTCAATCCCATTAATGGGATTCTTTCGCCATTCCTTCGCCCTTTCTCCAGCAAAAAGGTGGACTATAACCCCTTTTGAGGTGAGCAGCCTCCTTCTTTTGTGCCGGTTCCATGGTAAATCATGGTTCATTTGCGGATCTTCTTCATCTTGACCCCGCATGTAATTCCAAATTCTGTCCGGTGTTTCCGGAAATCGTGATCCCCACCACTTCTTGGTCTTCTCCGTGGGCTCTTCCAAGGTGAGCCGATGGTTGGTCCTCTTTTCCATTTCCATGTGCTCAATCTCAGTGATCAGAGCCAGAGCGTGGTCCTTTCGAACCACTGGACACCCAGACCTTAACCAACATTCTATGTTTCCCAGTCGTGGATGCTTCACAACACATCCTGCACGGGACCAAGTGATGGTGTATCCCAATTCCACCAAACCTCGAAGAGGTACAATTGGTTCCACCGGTCCCTCCGACAAGAGGGTTCCATTCACAGGATTTTGATAGAGCTGAGCAGCTCCATGTGCGAGTTCCACAGTGACCTGCACCGCGTTCTTGATCTCCTCGGTTGATCCCTGTCTCAAGGGGTGTGTCGCCCCACCATCCAATAAACCCGCTCCATTATCAAACTCGACTTCGAGATGATCCCCACCATGCCCCACCGATTTCAAGACCGGTCCATTGAGACCCTTCAAAAGGCTGTTGACTTCTCCTACAACCTTTTCGGACTTCTCTGGTACAGGGGTAATAGTGACCGTGGATTCATCCCTCGGGTTGATCTTCACGACAGGTTCAGGACGTTCTTGAGCAGCACCTCCTTCTTTTCCAGGACCATTTTTCCTCTCTTGAGATCTTGAGCGGATTCTAGTGGTTTTGGCCACCTTTGGTTCTTCAGATCCACCTTGTGGACCTCGTGACTCACTTCGTTTTCCCGCCGGACCATCACGTCGGGAGTGTCCCTTTCCAGAACAGTTGAAACATCGGCCATCTTTGGAGTCCAAAACGGTGTGCATAAACCGGCATCGTTCTGCATATTGGCATCCCTTCTCAGTCAGCCAGTTGATGCACGCCACCTTATGGACCACATTAGCGGCGTTAATCGGCAGCTCGGGCTTCTCCCCCCTCCTTCCGGTGGAAGAACCTGCTGCGTCTTCTGGTTTTCCCTTCGAAGCTCCCTTTGGTGGACTTCCAGATGAATCCGGTCCACTCATAGACTTCACCCCCACTACATTGTTGGGCTTAGTCGTTGGACCCTGTGTTGTGTTCCCCGCTTGACGGAGAGCCATTTCACTAGCCTCCGCTTGAAGAAGTTCCGAAAACGTTCGGATCTCTTGCATTCCCGGCCGGAGATCTATGCCCAAATGCTGTCTCACCGAAGACAACCGGTAGGCAGCTTGAGCTCCCCCCAACCTGGCCAAGGCATCACTCATTTTTGCGACCACTCCGGCCAAAACCAGAGGATCGGGCAAAACCAATTGAAGTTCTTCGGCACGAACCACCCATCTTCTCCACTTCCGGATGGAGTTGACCATCTCTACAGCATTATTAGATGGACATTTCCAGTCCACCAACATTTGCAGCAGGGCAGTTCTTTCCACTTGTCCCCCAGGTTGGAAGACGGTGTACAGCTTGAACATGACTTGACCCGCTGACATGTGTCTGTTCGCCACAAGGTCCTCGTAGATGTCCTTGGGGACGGCTTGAAGCAGCATACCCACCACCCGTTTCTCTGTGCGAGGCCACCTACGGGCCATGTCAGGTATCACAGGCGCCATCCGGAGCCTCATGAGTGGATCCGCTTGCAACCAGTGGTGGTATGCTTGTTCAACAGCAGTCATCACTACTTCCCACCATTGCTCTGAGGTATAGCTCACATCCCCAATCATCTGTTGGGCAACTGTCAGCCAGTCTCCAAAGTCCAAAGATGTTGCGTTTCTGTCCAGCTTTGGCAATTCGACCGATCTTAAAGTCTCGCCTGGTATTTCTCCCCCTGCCTGAGGTCCTGCTTGGACTGCAACTTGCTGTTGTAGTTGTTGTGGCGGTACAGCTCGTCCTGGATTTCCTTGATGACCACCTGGCGGACCAGGTGCTTGTCCCGGATTTCCATACTGCCTTGGCGGTGGACCCCCCGGCCAACCACAACCACCCATAGGTCCGGTGTTTCCACCCGGAAATGAAAAACCTCCATGAAGTCGATGATCTTGTCCTGCAGGTGCTCCTCCAACTTGGGCTTGAGGATTATACCATTGATTGGGTTGTTCACCCATAAAACAGGGTCTTGTGTTTTCCATGGCTCCCATGCAGGGAGCTCCCATTGGTGGTCTCGGCGCCGCTCCCTGCGGCATTCCATTCATCCACCCTTGATTCATATACACATCCATCGGCCGAAGACCTTGTTCGACCCTGGGCGCAGGAGGCACGTGCCACATCGGACCTCCCGCCTTCAATTGAAGATCTTGATCATGATGATGTTGAACTCCCGGAACTGCCTGATCTAGCACCTGTTGTCCTTGGGGTGGGACACCTTGAGGTGTCCCTACAGGAAAACACTGCCCGATGTTCTGTTCCGGAGAGGCGGTTTGATAAGACCCCCCACTCGACTGAGAGCCCTTGTGACCTCCTCCTGTTTCTTGGACCCGTTCCAGGGCACGTTTCTCTTCCCGCGTGGCTAACCAATTTTCTCGATCTTGTTGGATCTCAGTCTTGCCCCGCTGGATGAATTCCATCGCTCGTTGTTTCAACTCTTCATACTTCTCTTTCTCCCTTGCGTCCGCCCGATCAATCAGGTCTTGCGACACTGTGGGATAAGTCAGCTCCTTCACTGGAGTTTGTGGACTGCTCATTAGAGCTTCCACTCGCTTGGCAGCACTCCATGGATTCGTTTCCTCTGCAGCCATGACCCCGGTTACAATCCCAGGATCCACAACCGCCGTTCCCCACTGAGGCACCATTCCCGTAGGTGGCACTCCAGCACACATGGATTGCTGGGACATCCCAGCTACTTGCGAACCCTGTGTTCCACCAGTTGCAGTATACACCACAGGTGCTCCCGCCGGCTGGTAGATCATAGGTGAGCCTGTTGGTGCCGCTGGCCCCGATTGTTTAACGCGTGCATCTTCAGGAGACTCAACAGGTGAACGTCCCGGTCGCTCCAAAAGAGCAACGGTTTCCACAACAGCAGCCGCACCTCCACCCACTTCAGTGGAGCTTTGGTGTTTTCCACCCTGTCCTTCTTCTCGATTACCCACGACAGGTGGTTCACGAAATCCCTCAGACATCCGGGCAACTACTGGTGTTTGTGTCATAGGCACTCCCGAAAGAGTTAGGCTATTCACACCTGGGGTCAAACCAGACAACAGACCACCATTCCCATTTCCTCGTACCACTTCAAGTCCAGGAGGTTCTTCAGGTGGTAAGGACACTGGTCTTGCGACTTCTTCCGCAACAGCCGGATTCTGGGCGATTCGTTCGCCCGCTCCAGCCCGGACCGCCGCAACCTGCACTAGGGCTCCACTTCCCCCAGCACCGGTCAGTGCCATCACACTTTCTCCAACTTCCCCATCCATCAGTGATCTTCGGGTTGAGTCTGATGATCTTGTCCCTGTTCTTTCCCCATGTGCTTGTCCAGGTGCGTCCATCTCCTCCAGAAGCCGGTCCAGCATTTGGTCTGCCGTTTCCGCGCGTTCTTCTTTTCCATGTCCATGGGTCCCATGTTGTACTTCTTCAGCATGAGCAGCCGCTTGAACTTGGCGTTCTTGTCGACGACGCTGAGTGAAGTCGCTGCTCGACATTGCTTCAAGGCAGCGTTGGGGTTGGGCTCATAACCCACGGGGTTCAGACTATGACCGAGACCCTTCCCGGAGAACCCCACCAAGAGGTTGATGCAGGTGCACCTTTTTACTCCAGATTGGGCTCGGTGATCTTGAGCCAGTCAGTTGATTGGCCCTTGAGCCAAATTGCAACAGTCGGAGGACGTCTCAACGACTGTGAAAACTTTAAAAAGACCTTAGTGGGGGTGCAGTGGTACTCTGTGCATGTTTCCCAAACCGCAATATCAAATTTAAGCGGCAATCGCCGTGCCAAAAAGAAGAAACCCCTCCGAGCCCGGCTCGAGAAACCCCTCCGAGCCCGGCTCGAGCCAAGCTCGCACCTGAGTGAGCCACAAAATCCTGCAGCTTCCAAACTCGCTTGGCCATGACCGCCCCATGGACGATACGATGATTCGCGACGCGGTTTTTCGGGGTCAGATCGACCCAAAATCCGGGGAATTTTTTCCAAGCCTTGATGGTTGGGTCGCTACATTTGAGTGGCTGCAAGGTGGGCTGAAGATCTGATGTTTTTTACCCAAGGACACTGAAGATTGAAATGATTGAATCACGGCTTGGGGCTAGACGTCCATTCGCTGAGCTGCTTGAAGGCTTCTCAGAATTTGCTGGTTTCAGTACGGGGGACAGTGGGGTGTCGCAGCTGAGGACTCATTCTTGCTGTGATGCCAGCCCCTCTGCTGGTGATGCTCATGGCACAGTAAGACAGCTGTGGAGCCAACATTCAGAGACGGCCTACTTTTAAACTTGGATATCTTGGATGCTTTTTTGAGGCCTTACACAGGCGGAAGCACGCAACTTCATCTGGGAAGCCTCGTCTCAGCAGTGTGCGATGACCTTGCTGCCCAAAAACTTTCTATGGCCAAGGAGAAAGACCTTTGTGTGTGTGTTTCTCAGCTTGCAAACCAGTTTGAATGTGCTAGACGCTGCCAAACCATAACCTTTTGTCCTTTTGAAGGCTTTCATGCTAAAACTTGGGATTGACATCCATGCGGCTGACCCTGGAAAGCTGACCGCACTCCAATTGCCAAGCGCTGCTTGCGCTGCTTTTTCTTCGTCAACCGCACCCGTTTGGTCTTTTAAATCCTACATGGGAGCGGCCGGCTGTTGGATACGACATGAAGCTGGAGCAGTATGCTTCCAAATTGGATCTCATTCATAACTGAAGATAAGAATCGGAGAGCTGAATCCCAAAAACTTGCTTGTGCAATAAATGACAGTTTATCCAAAGAAAAGTGTTTTATTGTTATTGTTGGATAGTTAAGTTATCCATAGTTACCCCTAATAATTCTTTTTTCCCAATAAAAAGTGGTGCTTCAAAGGTCATGTCCACCACGACCTGCGTCGCTGTGCCCTGCAAGTGGCTGCTTGCGGCTTTTTTCGGCTCCTGGTGCGCCGTGCCCTGCGGGGTCTCTTTGGTGATCCCAACTCCCAAATGAGTCAAATGGGACCTGCTCTGGATGAAAAACACAACCTACCCTCTGGTAATTTAACGTAGCTATTGAAATGGCTATTAATAGTGGATTTTCCCATTAAAAATGGTGATTTTCCATAGCTATGTTAGTTTACCAGAGGGTAATGGAAACCTACAAAGAAAATCAAAGAAACCTTGATGTCTCGTGTGGATTTTCCAGCCCAGCCCCACTTGGATGGCTTCCAGTTTCGTGACCCGGGACATCGGGTTTGGAACCGCCAAGTGATGAAACATCACAGAAATGGGGGACCAAAATAACGGTTCATTAATATGACAAACTATCATGTACAGTCATCCTGGGGAAGATAGAATGTGGACATGTCAAGAATAACTCGAATATGCGAAGATGTTTGTCTTTGATTCCAAATTCATATATTCATATATTCTTTTTAATATGGTTTTCACCCGATTTCATAAACCATCCCCAAGTCATCACCATGGCTTTATGGGTTGAATCATCCCCAAATGCTAGGTGTATGGCATTGGGTTTAGCCCTCCAGCCCTGGCTCTTTGCAGCATCTCTCCTCTGGTGTCACCACCGTGCCTTTCTCTTGGGTTTGCCCGCACCACTGGCCCAGCCTTTCACACTGGGAACCCCATGGAGTTACCCCATGGCACCTGAAAATGCTGAGATAAAACCTCCAATGGATGGCCATGTGGGAGAATGATTCAAAAACCACAAATCCGGGGTACCTATTTTCAGAGAACCCAATGTTTCCTTGGAAACCCATCCATCCAAGAATATCTATATAAAGATGCTGGAATTTCCGCTGACCGTCCTTGCTGCAAGGCTATTTCCTATCTCCTGGCATTCTGGAAGATTTCCAGTTTAATTCAACAAAAGAACGTTGAAAATCGAGGAAAATGTATCTTTATCAAAACAGTAGAATAAAGAAACCGTTCTTTATTGATTATATAGTAGTCCAAACTGACTAATGAAGAAACCCTTCAATTTCCAAAACCTCCAAATCTTTTCTGCGTTCAGTATCCCAAACAGTGGAATAAAGAAAGAAATAAAGAAACCCTTCAGTTTCCCCACCATGGTTTCTGGGGTGTTAAATATGCGGAAGGGACTACCCCAGTCCCCCAACCACCAGGTTGAAGGGAAAATCTACAGAAAAGCCTTGTATTTGAGGGTAAAGACTGGAAAGACCTTGGTTTCCTATAAAGAATCCCCTCAACCAATCCATTGAAGATCCCCTGTTTAATGCCTATCCCCAAATTTTCCTTGAAAAGTCCATATCTCTTTTGTTTCAACATCAGCTTTCCCTTCAAAAATTGCCGCTGACAGGCAGTGCCTCCTGACCTCCAACCTCCCCGGCTCGCCTGTCGCAACGCGCTTGGCCGGGGTGTCGCCATCAACCTCCATGTCGGCCTGGCCCTGTGGAGTTGATCGAAAAATGGTGGATTTTAGGACCTGACACTGATGGACCTATCTGATTTCCGACCATGTACATAGGTGAATTGCTATAATTATATCTATAATTAACCTACAAAGAATCGGATTCTTCGTATTTTTTTCCAAATCCAACAATCAAAAAACATGTATTTCGCCATCAATAGGGATTTCAGCCCATGGATCATGGCTATGGCAATTTTGAATTGCAATTTTCATAGGAAAAATGATGGATTTCACTATCAAATTTCGGGGTACCACCAAATCTGATTGGCCAACATTTGCCATCATTAAAAGTGACATTTTGGGGCATCCCCCTTTTTGTTCAAAGCCTAAAATGGCATCCGGCTTTGAAGGGAAGCCATGAAGGGAAGCATTTTGCGAAAACCCACTAAACTAAACAGATCGAATATTTTGGTGCTTCCCACGTTCTTCATGTTTAATCTCAAAAAAAAAAGTTCAAAATCAGGAAGCTCATCCCAGCATGACTGGTTTCTTAACCAGGTGTCACCATCGGCCTGGTCAGGTGTCGCTGCGGCGGCAGCTTGCGCAGCTTGCGCAGCTTGCGCTGGCGGCTTTGGAGCCTCTTCCACTCGTTGTCTGGGTGCACCTCACGTGATACGAAGCGCAATAAGAAATTCAGAAACGGGCCCCGAATGGGGTAAGAACGTAATAATTACGTAAGCAATCAGACCTGAAGTGGATGCCCATCAAAATTGGGGAGTGAAAAAAACATGGCAAATGGGTCTGGCTCAAACGGTGGTCATGTTGCTACCATGAGAAAGGATATCAGGCCATGTTTTTGCAGGAGTCATCAATTTCGAGCCATAAGGCGACGATTATCTGATGATGAGTGCCTGAAAGGCTTACATGTATACAGTATACAGCATGTATGTATTATATATACCTATATATTGTTTTTACATGTATGGTTTATGGCAAATGGACATGGTTTCCATATTGGGCTTCCTTATAATGATCATGATACTTGATCTGTACTACAGAATGAAGCTCTGTCCATGCTCTGCCCTGGTCAAACAACGGTATTCTCAGCATTACGCTGAGTAGAACAAAATGTGGAACGAAAAAAATGGAGGAAGGTTGAGTCTGCCTCGAACGACAAAAATGGAGGGAGGTTGGGTCTGCCGCTGAAATTGGGACAAATTTACCATGGTTGAGGACGGATCTTTTGGGACAACCCTGGGGTCGACACCCCTCCAACCCCATGGAGCAAGCCAGTTGATCAGACTTGGCAGTGGCTAGTTTGGGCAGCCTTCCCCACCTGTTAAATGTCACTTTCCTGAAACGGGGGATCCAAAAAATCCTTCATCACGGGCCATGGCTCGGCGTTCATCGGTCCATGTTTTTCCTCTTGGATCCTCATGCTATATTTGCCGCTTTAAAAATTGCCCTGTCTGAAAATATACCGGATCCAATCATCGAAGCAAGGCTAATGGGTGTTTCATGGTGTTTCTGGTCGCCAGAATTATCTGTTTTGGTTTCATGGGAGTCTTGCTTGAAGTTTCCATTCAAGTTTCATGTGATAATATTCCGAGAAATTCGGGGGTGTCTCAAAAACTGGTAAATCCCTCGTTTTGAGACAAACCCATACTTTCGGTGCTTTTTTGCAGTGATATCCGGACTGTGGTGGTTGTTGATGTTTTACACCTCTAGGTTGATTTACTCTCTGGTAAACTAACAGTTTGCTATTGAAAATGGCCCAGTCGAAATAGTTGTACAGTACATTTTTTCAAAACGGTGATTTTCCATAGTTATGTAAACGTTTACCAGATGGTATATCCGGTGTTTTACAATGTTTTACACCCCAAAGATTCCTCCGAAGCACCCATCGACAGCCAGGTTACTCCGCACTGTTTCTCTCATGGCGGCACCGATGGTGCCTGGTTGCTGAGCTTGGCCGAGCCAAATACAAATGGGGGGTTCATAAATGGGGGATCCCCAAAATGAATGGTTTATTTCATGAAAAATCCTGTAAAAATGGATTGGGGGTACCTTCATTTTAGGAAACCTCCAGTATAACTGACTGATTGACTGACTGATTCAAGTCTACATATTCAACTGGATTTAATTATTTTTGAAGTAGATTGCAGCATTGCAGTCTTTGATTAGAGGAATTAGATCATATAACAAGCATTCACGGTCCACAAACCGAAAAGTCAAACCAAAGGGGAATAGTCCAAGAAACCATGTCTGTCCATTGATGAAGTTCAAATGTGAGCCACTGACCATACTACTGATAGTAGATATCTCATGGTTCCTAAATATTGAACATGGAACCCCCATCGGTTTCTTTTGTGAAGTTTTAGCGTTCTTGCAATCTCTATCAATCAACAGATGCCGATCCCCAATGCTGGATTAACAGGCAAACAATGATTAGTTGTGATGTATAGCTGGTTGACAACACTCCCGCTCCACATGAGGTTGGTTTAGTATTGGATCGAATATTCACGTGGCTTCCGGAAATAAGAGGTTTTACTTCCT